GACTAAATCTGTCAATGCATCTATTAATTACAATACATCATATAGTCAATACAATACATCATATCATATAGTCGTTTGCACAATTTCCATGTCCTGCTGCTGATAATTGGTGCTAAAAGATAACTATTTATTTATAAACAATAAAGAACAACTTGACAACATCCTCATTTTAATGCAGTGATGACTGCATGCTTTTTCACGTAAAGACTAGGATATTATGACTTTTTTCTTGTAGTATGACTTTAATTTCGTAATATTACGATTTTATTCTCATAATATTATGACTTTAATCTCGTGATATTATGATTTTATTCTTATAATACTTTATTCTCGTAACTTGTAGTTGCATTTTCTTTTATTTAACATCTTATTGCAGCATAAATTTCATCAGCTAAGTTGCTAAACTTTTAAAAAACAAATCCTTCGGTCCATGGTGAATTTCCAAACTGCGCCGACACGTTAAAAAAATAAAAACACCACCGTCTTCATTTCTCAGATCATTTTGCTGCCCACGCATTGAATCCTGGGATATCCTCGGCTGGTGAGGATACATGGATGCATCCTCGGATTTCGACAGGAAGWAGGACGCATTCCTCGGCCGCGTGATGAGGAGCCTTCAAATTGGGACAGTCCTCCGCGCCGGGCAATGACGTATGCGGCCGACAAATGCGCACTCATGAGGACCCAGCCCCTGAACTGAGACAGAGCCCATGTGTTGCCTGTTTCTCAGTAGTGTAAAGGTAGATGGAATGGGGGGGAACATACCAAATTGAAGTTGTTCAAATAGCTGCAGTCTCTTACAGGCAAGTTGTTTATTTATTTGTTTATTTTTTTCACAGAACTCCACTTGAAAATGACTGGAATGTCCCATTAGAACCAGTTTCAGAAAAACTACTAATAGGGAGAAGCTGAGTGTCTCCCTAAATGCTACTGATTGAAAAATAAACCTTTAAGTGAATTAATGTCATTATTTTGTAATGATGACTTTTATTTAAAAGAGTAAACTGTGTCCCATGTGTGACAACAAATATTGGGGTCATTTTTGATAACACTGTTTACAGAAGAATGCTAGTCATGGAACCGGAAGTACCGGATCTCCTTGTATTTACTTTGTGATGTAAAGACGGTGGGAACTCAACTCACCAGTCAAGATGGACTCTTCCACACAGGTACGTCCAAGAAATGCTGACTTCTTCTTTAACTTCCATTTAAAACTTCTTTATTTATTACATTTTGTATATTTTGTATTSCTATGAAACCCTATAACATAGTTACATAATTAAACCCGACATAACCAGTTTCAGTGGTTAATTACCTTCACTAATTCACCTGCTGCAGCAGCGCGAGCGTGTCTCAGCAGCGGACCAATCGCAGCAGAGTTCAGAGGTCAGAGCGGAGGAAAGCGGAAGTTGTTGGCTGCTCGTTAGCCTTTAGCAGGCTAACCGGCGGCTGCTCGCGTTTCCGCCGCTTGTCACCGGAAAGTGAAGATATGAAAGGCTTCGTACTTTGTAAAAGATGAGGGCAAGACGAGCAGGGGAATGATTTCAACTTCTGACAGATGATAAACACGCTTAAAGAAACCCGGACGTGTTAACAGGTAACAACCCTGCTGTTGTAGCTAACTTAATGGCTAAGGAAGARCATATTGTTCCTTTAAATCCTTATATATTCTTCTAAATTAATTCTCAAGGTTGCTAAATGTTTCTTTTACAAAGCTAAATTGCTGTCACACTTTAAAAATAACACAAAATTGTTTGTTTCATAGTTAAATCAGTTTTGCAAGTGCCTAAAACACAGCCAGTCATCTAATTTAGGTGAATAATTATAGGTTTTAGATTAATGTAGTTTGTTTAACTCAAGGCTGGAGTACAGTTATCTTATRCTGTGTATATCAGGCAAATGTCAACTTGATAATTAGTGCAATCTTAAAAGCTATTGTGTTTAGATTTTCCTCAGGAAACAAAATAAGTGCACTAGAAATTCAAAACMGAAATATGTGCATTTATTTAAGGATTACATCTGTAAGGCATTACATAATCTCTTAAATATAGAGATCAGTGCAGCTATTAGGTATGAGATTAAGGGTTAGGATATTTTGTATTTTATGTTTTTCCTTTAGCTATAAATATATTGTGAAAAGTATAGAAATTACAGGAAAAAACAATTATGAGCTGAACAAAGCTGGCAATAATTAATCACTCTGTAATGTGAGTTTTACAGATTTGCAGCTGCATGACAAAMATGTGTTTTAAGATAGATTTACTTACTGCTTTTTTAAGTTGCAAATGCCACTTTATAAAGGACCTAATTTGAAAGTTTRTACAGCATTGTTTGACTCTCCTAACGATTTTAACCTGCTAGATTTTAGTAAATGTTTATGTACTGCATGATGTCTGCGTTTTACTACCTTTCATTTTTCCCACCATTTATTTTTTTCTTTACTGATTTTCTTGTCGAAAGGTGAATAAATCAAATGTTCATAATTTAAGCCCAGTCACCCTATGAATAATACTGTCAGCATAAAAATATTTAAATGCTTGTATGCAAATTTCTTTTGGTAATTCCTTTTTTGAAACCTGACTCTGTAAATGTAACAGATGTCTTACACAAATAATACAACACTCTAAAAAGTTTCCTCCCTTTTTGCCACTTTTAAAGCTCTTCTTTGTGTTTGTGTTCCCGCAGCTTCCAGCAGCCACAGACACGATGAGTGCCAAATATGGCTTGGGGGGCTACAACAATTCGCGGAAGTACATTTCCATTTCCATCCCGTCGTCCACAGAGGTGATGTCACCTCACATAAAGTCTGTGGAGGAGCTGAGGGTTCTTGGAATCAACCTTAGCAGCTTAAGTGCCCCTAAACAGTTCATCACYTGTGTAGCTGGAGTCTTCCTCTTTTATCTGATCTATGGATACTTGCAGGTAAGAAGACAGAGGGACGGTGTAGGAGAATGACCACATTTAATTTATGCCTTTGTGTATTTTGTGTAAATGAAAACTACCTGAAGGAAATAAGCACGCTGCACATTTCTGTATTTTCCTCTTGCCAACAGGAGCTGATCTTTTCTGTAGAAGGATTCAAGCCRTTTGGTTGGTACCTGACTCTGGTCCAGTTTGGCTTTTACTCCATGTTTGGACTCGTGGAGCTACAGCTCACACAAGACAAACGCAGAAGGTTGGGATTCCACCTCCTCCTTCCTTTTTAATAAACTCATAAGATATTCAATATTTTATTTTCTTCTTCTTCTTCTTCTTTAGGATACCAGGGAAGACCTATATGATCATAGCATTTTTAACAGTAGGCACCATGGGCCTGTCCAATACCTCTTTGGGATACTTGAACTACCCAACACAAGTCATCTTCAAGTGCTGTAAACTCATCCCAGTCATGATTGGAGGAGTCTTTATACAAAGTTAGTTTGTTTGTAAGCACTAACAGACTAAACAAGAATTCATTTGTTTGCTGCCTTTTGGACAACTTTTTATGCAAATAAAAAAATGTGTATTTTATACAGCAGGTAAAATAAGTATTGAACACGTCACCATTTTTCTCAGTAAATATATTACTAGAGGTGCTAATGACATGAAATTTTCACCAGATGTCGGTAACAACCCAAGTGATCCATACAAAGAAATCAAACCATAAATGTCCAGAAATGAAGTTATTTGTAATAATGTGGAATGGCACAGGGAAAAAGTATTGAACACGTGAAGAAAGGGAGGTGTAAAAAGGCATGGAAAGACAAGACACCAGCTGAACTCTCTCAGTAATTAGAAAACAAGCCTGCCCCTTGTCAGTGCAAGTTAATATCAGCTGGTTCAGTCCCAAATGATGGCCAGGTATCACACAAGAACCATCTGATGATGGGTAAAAGTAAAGAGTTCTCTCAAGACCTTCACAACCTTATTGTTGCAAAGCATAATGATGGCATCGGTTACAGAAGAATGTCTAAACTTCTGAAGGTTCCAGTGAGCACTGTTGGGGCCATAATTCAGAAGTGGGAAGAACATTATTTCACCATAAACCGACCACGACCAGGTGCTCCTCACAAGATTTCTGACAGAGGAGTGAAAAGAATTATCAGAAGAGTTGGCCAAGAGCCAAGGACCACTTGTGGAGAGCTTCAGAAAGACCTGGAATTAGCAGGTACGATTGTTTCAAAGAAAACAATAAGTAATGCACTGAACCACCATGGCCTGTATGCACGCTCACCACGCAAGACTCCACTGCTGAAGAAACAGCATGTTGAAGCTCCTTTAAAGTTTGCTGCACAACATTTARACAAGCCTGTGTAATACTGGGAGAATATAGTCTGGTCAGATGAGACCAACATTGAACTGTTTGGATGCCAGAATACACATCATGTTTGGAGGTCAAATGGCACTGCACATCAGCCCAAAAACACCATACCAACAGTGAAGTTTGGAGGTGGGAACATCATGGTGTGGGGCTGTTTTTCAGCATATGGTCCTGGCAAACTTCAAATAATTGAAGGAAGGATGAGTGGAAAAATGTACAGAGACATTCTTGATAAAATCTGCTTCCATCTACCAGGATGATGAAGATGAAACGTGGCTGGACATTTCAGCAAGACAATGAGCCCAAACACAAAGCCAAGGAAACTCTCAGTTGGTTTCAGAGAAAGAAACTAAAGCTGCTGGAATGGCCCAGCCAATCACCTGACCTGAATCCAACAGAAAATCTATGGAAAGAACTAAAGATCAGAGTTCATAGAAGAGGTCCACGAAACCTTCAAGATTTGAAGACTGTTTGTGTGGAAGAATGGGCCAAAATCACACCTGAGCAATGCATGCCACTAGTTTCTCCATACAGGAGGCGTCTTGAAGCTGTCATTGACAACAAAGGCTTTTGTACAAAGTATTAGATAAATTTCAGTAAGTGTGTTCAATACTTTTKCCCTGTGCCATTCCACATTATTACAAATAACTTCATTTCTGGACATTTATGGTTTGATTTCTTTGTATGTATGGATCACTTGGGTTGTTACCRACATCTGGTGAAAATTTCATGTCATTAGCACCTCTAGTAATATATTTACTGAGAAAAATGGTGACATGTTCAATACTTACTTTACCCGCTGTATATGTGAACATTTTCCTGCAATCCCCTAGTTTTGATATTATAAAGGATTTTTATTATTATTTTTGTCTTTTAGRATTTTTGTATGTTTTTTACTTTGGAAAATAATTTTAGAATGGCTAAASATAACTAATCTAATTTGTTTTTACACTTCTAAGCTTCTAATTTAAATTAATCAGAAGGTGAAGTTGTACAAGTTTTTCTATGATTTAACACCTGTTTTTTTAAATCAGCATAACATGATTTAACTATAATCAGTGAGACRTTAGAAGAGCAACACATTAAAGCCATCGTATGAATCTTGTGAAGTTTTTAGTTCATCCTTTTCATCCACCTGGTTTTAGTCRTCAGAGTTCAGTCATGCTGTCCGTSTCAAACKTCTGTGTCCTGAACCTCAGATGAGTTTAGTACCCCCGCCTCTTTCTTTCAATGARTAGATGTGAGGACCACAGTCCCTAAAGGGCAGAGTGAAAAACATTTGTTCACTTAGAAAGCAAAAAGGAGAGACGGGAGGGGGTTCAGGGTTGTATCTGATGTGAGGCCCTTCAAAGATGAGTGGGGGAATCAAAGCCGACCACAGCCAACCTGATGCTACTTCCTCCTGTCAACCTGAAGGCATCCGTCCGTCAGTCGGTTTTCATCTTCTTGTTTGTGTCTTTTGCTTTTTCCCTCTTTTTAATACACTTTTTTGTTGTTGTTTTGCATATCCTCAAACTTTAAACTGAGTAGACTACTCTGCTATAACTTTAGGTTTACTGGGTTTTTGAAAACCATAAATGGGTTGTAATATGTTTCTGGAACATACGGTTTCTTTTGTTTTGCGTGTCGTGTTAACGGGTATTGCTTTGTGTTTGAAGGTAAAAGATATAATCTGATCGATGTGTCAGCTGCCCTCTGTATGAGTCTGGGACTCATCTGGTTTACCCTGGCTGACAGCAAAGTGGCTCCCAACTTCAACGTTACAGGTAATTTCTTCAGGATCTAAACGCACAACTCAGTTTTTGCTACAACAAAATCATCTTCAACTATTATCGTAATTTCTGGACTACAAGCTGCAACAGTTTTCACGTGTCGAACACTAACGGCATCGCTTCATGKTTTGTTCACCTTCATGAAGAAATGAAAAGTAACTTTGGCAAATTTCTCTGAGAATCACCTTTCACTGACCTCACCCATTTCTCTGTATTTKTTTTGCTGCGTTTTCGTTTCTTTGACATAATTTTCTTTACAGTTTGTGTAAATCAAATCCATTTTTCTGCCCTGTTTTTATTATTTTTTTTTTAACAGTGATGCGTTGTGATTGCCTGCTGATGCTGCATCTCTGCCTTTGTGTCTTTCTCCCTCCTCCTCCTCCTGCACAGGAGGCAGAGAGACAAGGAGGCATTATCTAATGGTTACAAATCACCACTAAATGTTTCTCGAGTTTTTATTTTCTTTATTTGACTTTCTATAATTTGACCCAGTAAAAGGCGGGACATTGTGTGGGTTGCTATGTGCGGGTCTTAAAAAGTATAAAAAAAAGTCTAAAATTTGAAAATCCAAATTTTAGGCCTTAAAAAAGTCTTAAAAACTCCCATATTTTCATCCAAAGTCTTGCATATTAATTTGTCAAGTCTTATTTGTTTTTTTACTTTCAATCATTCCCGAGAAGTGTTGGCTGCATAAAGCACAGTAATCAGAGGTTGATGYGATCTGTCTTTGTGAAGTGCTTAGTTTGCTACCAGTCTTTGAACGTATTAAACTAAAAATCCCGTGACAACTGCAGGCAAAAATAAGTGATTTTTGCACTCAGTTGGAAGCGGTCCACAGCAGTCGATATGAAGGTCTCATAGATATGACCGTTTCATTAAAATAATTTGGTGTTCTTGTATCAAAATTAAATATTCTTTCATAGCTGAGTTGATTCCAATAAAAGGTTTCTTTAAGATTTTTGGGATCATTTGAATGCTTTTAATGCGTCGCTTTGGTCTTAAATGTCATTCTTCATGGTCTTAAAAGGTCTTAAATTKAACTTCCTGAAACATGCATGAACACTGTGTGRGGGACAAATGTGCTGGTTTTGTGTGSCAGGCGCATAATRTGTGYTGGGATTGTGKTACGGTGCGGTGATAGATTTGTGCGTCCCCTACTCCCCTCTACTAACAGACACACCCGTCTGTAACGTCTTTCTGTGTAAATGTCTCATACTACAATGTAGGGGTGTAATGATACATCGATCCATCGATTTGAATGGTTCATGATTCAGTTTTATCGAGGCAAAATGAAAATATCGATCTAGATCGTCATCATATGCTCGATGGGAATCAATAACATATGCCCATCTAATACAGTCATTGTGTTAGATGGACATATGATATTGCATTAAATTGATCGCAGACATGTGAATTGAACTGAATCGAAATCGTATCATGACAGACTTCATGATATCGAGAAATATCAAATCGTCATCCAAACATTTCAATGTAATATCCCCGGGCTTTTCACAATAGAAGCACGCTAGAGTCTCCATGCATTAATGTCTCCATTTTACACAACACTGCCCTTGTTTTTATCTGGAACCTTCGTGCAGTGGTTTTATAATGTAGCGCATTAAATCTAACCGTGCACGACACTGAAGAGTTGTTTACTACATTCAGCGATGGTGAAAACGGGATGTTCGATGTTCGACGTACGTCAGACCATATAAGCGGCTGAAACACACCACCCGCCACCAGTTGTTCCAACAAAAAYGTTAGCATGCTAATGCGCTTAGCGGTGCTGCAACGAAATGTGTCCCTGGGGAAACAGTTCCCTGGCGGCCGCGACGAAACGTTCCACACGTGTTCAGGCTATTTACACCGGTACTCAGAAAAGTCATATCATAACAAAAATAAGCAGTTTTCGGTACAAAACGTTATACCGCCCAGCACTATAATATCGTATCGTGATAAAGCTGGTAATTTACACCCCTACTACAATGTGGACACCTGTGGCCTACGTACACTTTTTTTTCTTTTTTATTTAKTGGCTGCAGTTTAGATTCAAGTGTAGAGATTGACTAATACAAGTGTTTTAAGGCCAATACTGATTATTTTGATCTAACCAATCCCAGATATGTGCTGTCGATTATTTGGGTCGATTCCTGAAGCCCATATTGCTTTTTCCTTCCTCCATTTACAGTGAGRCAAAGGCAGACTTTCAAAGGGCAGATGCAGCTAAATGAAGTTAAACACATTAAAAGATGAAAACTGACCCTTGTTGTTGCTAGCCGCTCTCTGCCATGATGCGAGCAGTAATGCGGTCTCATGATCTTTAGGCATGGCTGCTGAATGCGCTGATGGATCAGCGAACACAGCACGTATCCACTGATGCCGATACAAGAAAAAAAACACAAATATCGTCCAAAAATATTGTCTGGCCGATGTATCGGTCGACCTCTTTTCAAGCGCACTCGATAATCTGGAAATTACGGTACATGAACCTGTCCAGGACACGTTTGTATAATGTTAGGGTCTACCTTCTTAATGGTTGAAACATTTTTAAACCAGTGTAATTATTGTGATTAGCAGGTTTGCTTTATATTGAGTCTTATTTCGGCTCATGACTGATCTATTAGCTGACTGTGTGTGTATGTGTGTTGCRTACAGGTGTCATGCTTATCTCTCTGGCGCTGTGCGCAGACGCTGCCATTGGAAATGTGCAGGAGAAAGCCATGAAACTCTACAACGGYTCCAACTCCGAAATGGTAAACCACTGAACTGAAAAAAGTCTGTGCGTTAGACGAGAACAGGTGTAGACCTGTTGGCGTGTTTATAAGCAGAGACGAGAATAACGAGCCCTGCTTTGTGTGTCATTAGATATTTGAGCCCAATGTTTAGGCTGCAGGATGATGATATTAATTTGAAATGTCACCGATTGGTGGGGTGCTTTGTGTGTTGACAGGTGCTGTACTCGTACTCTATTGGTTTTGTCTACATACTGGCAGGTCTGCTCGGTGTGGGTGGACTGGGACCAGCAGTAGCTTTCTGCTCAGAGGTGAATACGTTGTGAGACAACAYGAGTTTATATTGCTGTCATGTAACGTGACTCAGAATGTGTTCAGTCTTTTTTTAGGATGAGGAAATTATTGAATACTTATCTGTGTMACCATCTACTCTTTTTTTCAGCACCCTGTCAAAACATACGGTTATGCCTTCGTCTTCTCCCTCACGGGTTATTTTGGAATCTCTTTTGTGTTGGCCTTAATCAAGCTTTTTGGTGCCCTAGCTGCGGTGACAGGTAAATATATAACAGTATTGCTAACGTAGACTCCAAATAATGCCATACTTGAATTTAATCTGATTATACACGCTTAAGAACTTAAAATAATCTGGTTTAAATGTACAAAAGAAGTTGAAGTTTTGCTTTTCTTTTTGTATTGAAGTGTAGGAAAGTACAGCAAACATGCACTGATGGTCCTGTTGACTCTTTTTTCAGTGACCACCGGGAGAAAGGCCATGACTATCGTACTTTCCTTCATGTTCTTCTCCAAACCTTTTACTTTCCAGTAAGTACTGCCACCTTTTGACTTTAAGCACTTCTTCTTTGTTTAAAGGAAGCCCAGAACTGAACTCTCCTTTGACAAATAAAACTTGATTTGGTCTCCCAGGCCTTCATCCCCTCAGTCCACAGTTCGACCTCTGTTACTCTGCTGCTTGTTTGGCCCCTTCACTTTGTGGTGCTGTCAGAGGAGACTCATTTTCTGCATACCCCTTTGACTTTGTTTTCCTCTTCTGACTTTTGACATTTCTGTGTGTTTGTGTGTGTGTAATGTTTTGATAAAATAAACTTTTGTCTTTTATGACGAAATTTATCCTCCCTCCAGCTGGAGTGTCCTTCACCCCGATTGCTCTCGGTCTTATAGATGGCTGCAGTTAGGAAGGATTAACAAAAAGGTTTTCTGGGATAATGTATTTTTTTATATTTACTAATCATTGTGCTAACTTTATATGCCCCTAAAACTTTATGCAAATATGGCACTTTTAACACAGACTTCAAAGTATTTTATGTGATAGACCAATTTAAATTAGTGTATAAATAAGAACTGGAAAGGAAATTATGTGCTTTTTATTTTTATTTTTTTATAAAAAAAT